TATTACGTTTATATTTTTATATGAGGTATGTTTAGAGTTAGGGTTACTGTTAGGGTACACTTCTGTAGTACAAGTCTGGTACACTTTGTGTATACATAATTATATGGGGGGGGGGCTACCTCGGGTACATATCTGTAGTACCTGATACGACAACGACCCCTTGAGCATCACTAACAAGAGCAGTGGAGCAGCAGTAGCATTAGCATTAGCATTAGCAGTAGCAGTAGGCCTATAGCAGTAGGCCTATAGCAGAAGGCCTACAGCAGTAGCAGTAGCAGTAGCTGTAGCAGTAGCAGTAGCAGTAGCAGTAGCAGCAGCGACATGCAGTAACCGTTAGATAGACGGTATTTTGGGTAGTTTGATTGGTGTAACATTGTAGCAAAATATTTTGGTATTATAATGTAGTAATTGTATGTAGTATATTGACTTGAGACATTATGGCATTCGTGTCACTTAATTATTATTCTTTATATTAGACATAATCAATCTGTAATTCGTTGAGAATCAACTTGACAGCAGACAGGCATTTTGAATCGGTCTAATTATACAAGATTATTATTCAGTGTGGTATATGCGGGTAGACAGGGCATGTACTGTACCATCATCCGTGCATACAGGATCCTTGACCGATGAGTGGGGTCGTTCCATGTGCAGCTGTTGAACTTCCTTGCTTACACTAATCGGGATGTTTTCGATGCGAAATCCCAACCGAAACGACAAAGGAAATGGAAGCTGGCTATCCGCTGACGTCGCGGCTCGATCCCTAATGAATGTTATTTTATTCGACCAATAGATGGCGGCCGGCGTTAATGGCGCTATAAGCGGTGTGGATTAGCCGCAGATTTCCACGCGGCAACGCCGTAATAGGTTCAGTAACGCCTTACGTAATCTTACCGGACCGAACATTCAACACCGAGAGTAAGGACTACTCCGCGAAGCAGATGTTTAACAAATGTCTTATAGAGGAAGGGAGTCGCGAGCCATTCGACAAGCGTGCGTAAACTTCCTTGCAGTCGCTGTGCTGAACATCTAAGAGCGGTGCACTCACGCAGGAAGAGGCGATGCGAGTGGATATTTATTTTCTATATTGTTGCGCGCATCATTTTTTTTAACTCGCTCTAATGTTTGGAACATTCGGTCAAAAGAAAGAACGGGAGTGGGATGAAGTTAATGAACAGCATCCCTAGAACACAGCTCATAATGAGAAATGCGTTCACACGCACATACGCGCGCACACACGCACGCACGCACGCATGAAGAAAGAGACAGGAATTTCGACCTAACGCAGCGTGAATACTCCATGGTCAATCGCAAGTA